AAGGGGCTTGCACTGTGTGTGGAGGTTCAGCTTGTGAAATTTAATTAACTCAATATGATCAGCTTCATGGTGTGAGCTAACTCAGTTAATAGTGTTTTCCGTGTTTTGAGCTAGACCCATTCTCATTCATGAAATTCAAACATTCCATAATGTTTGAATTCTGCAATATATAATTATATCAAATTCTGCAATATATAATTTAGGCCAAATGCATGAAAGAGGAAGCCAAGGTTAATGGGTGTGGTTTTGCTACGTAAATGACTTATTGATAACCCCTGAGCTGACCGCCACCTACTGTCATGGTTGACTGACACTGCATAGCTCCTATAATCTCTGCGGAATTACTTCAGCTCAACAGAAAATGGCAAGGTAATTATCAGCCTTGGAGACAAAGTTTAGAATATCATGAGTTATAAAACAGGAACTAAGATTGCAATAATTTGGTTATGCCATAAATGGCCGTGTACATGGGTTGAGGTAGAGGCTAGTCCTCCTCCTGTACTGAGATGCTTACTTATCTTCATCCTTTGTCCTAATGTCCTACTGTCACTCACATTCCTCTGAGAAATACCTCCAAATCTCTACAGCTAGAACCCTTTGTTTATGTTTGGCCTCTATGGAATCTGATCACAGAATTAAACTCAAATAGGTTGCATGAGTTTTCAAAATCCCAAACAAATGAAGACCCCAGTCAGTTTCCAAGTCTAAGTGGAAATACCCAGGCAGAAAAGGGCCTAAGCATTGCACCCTAAGACCTTAATGGTAGAAGAGAACTCTTTGCTCAGTATCCAACTCTTTAGACACTGATTCACTTTAGAAGTGAAAGCACAAAGCACAGAACTCATCATAAGGAAGACATTTGAATGAGTTTCTTTAAGGCCCCCTTCATGTCCCTGTTCCTCAGGCTGTAGATAAAGGGGTTCAGCATTGGAGGAACCACAGAGTACATCACGGAGGCTATTGCACTCTTTCTGGATAAGTCTGTGACTGCAGAGCTAATGTACACCCCAAATCCTGTCCCATAGAACAAGGAGACCACTGAGAGATGAGATCCACACGTTGAAAAGGCTTTAGACTTTCTCCCAGATGATGGCATTTTCAGAACCGAGGACACAATTTTAATATAAGAAAAAATAATCCCCCAAAGAGGAAGACCACCCAGCAGGCTAGTCATCACATATACCAGGATGTTATTGATGAGGTTGTCAGAACAGGCCAGCTTGATCACCTGAACAAGTTCACAGAAGAAGTGGGGGATCTCCAGGTTTGTGCAGAAAGACAGCCTCAGTAGCATCAAACTTTGGAGCAGGGCATACATAATGCTGATGGTCAAGGACAAGAGAATCAGCAGGACACACAGGCGGGGGTTCATGATGACTGTGTACCTCAGGGGATGGCAGATGGCCACGTAACGGTCATAAGCCATTGCTGCAAGGAGAAAGTTTTCCAATCCAGCAAAACCTGCACCAAAGCAGACCGGGGTGAGGCAGCCGGTGTAACTGATGCTCTTGCTCTGTCTCTGGATGTTCACCAGCATCTTAGGGACCGTGGTGGAGATAAAACACATGTCACTGAAGGACAGGTTGGAGAGGAAGAAGTACATGGGGGTGTGGAGGTGAGAGTCAGAGAAGATGGCCAGGATGATGAGCAGGTTCCCAAGCACTGTGACCAGGTACATGGACAGGAACAGTCCTAGGATGGTGGGCTGTAGGTCTGGATCCTCCGAGAGACCCAGGAGGAGGAATTCTACTGTGCCCGCTTGGTTTTCTGAATCCGTGCTGTTGGAGAGCCTGATGGGGAAGATACAGGTGATGGGATAGATCATTGATGCACAAACCTCCTTATTAGGAAAGTTCAGTGTCTGCATCATGAGGTGAAGTAAAGGTGACAGTCTTCTCACCTCCTGCTCATAGCCTCCTGTCCTTCTCACTTCCACTTTCCCAACTATCTGACTGTTCCAAGTTTATTTCTTTAACACCACCCCCATTCCTACTAATAGGAACAAACAAGCAACTAATATGTGGCTTTTTGATTGACAATTCTTCAATCCTTAAATGAACAGTAAATGAATAAACAAACAATATTACACCTAAATAAATAACAGCTTTAATCAACATTTCAACTACATGTATGTATGATATGTCAAAATATGATCTACTGTCATGTATAATTAAAAAGTTCAAATAAAATAAATTGTAATAGATTAAAAATAAAGATTTCAACTCATAGACATGTGGCTTTCATTCTGGCTTCAGCACTTGGTTGGTAAACAAGAAAAGTTCATGAGTTGTGCAAGAAGCATCAGACTACTTATTTGTATTTTAGAGAACGATTATAAAACCAAATCGGAGTATTACCAGAATGAGTAATGGGAAGTGAAGTCTTCAACAATAGTGGCTGAGATCCAGGACACTATTAGTATTTCTGTTGTGATTTGCTCTTGGCACAGACATAATTAGGACACCAGGCACAGTTCATTATAGGAGGGAAGAGAGGAGTGGAACAAATGTGGGGAGAAGAAAGATAAACAGAATATCCTTATTTGATAAATGAAAACATCAGGGAAGCATCATTGAGATGCTCACCATTAACCTGCAAGCTTGCATAGAGAGACAGGAAGAGTGAACACCTGAACAAAGCTCATAACGTTCCTGTGGGTTTCTCATGGATATGCAGTAAAGTGTCTTGAAATGAAAACAAACACAACAGCAGTGCAAGTGTTAACTGAAATAATTTAACAACTAAAAGAGAAAACTGACTTTTCCTAACAATGCATCCAAAGAATGATAAAAATTTGAAGTCTTGAATCATCACAGATATGAAAATTTTAATTATATAAACATCTCCGGTACTCAAAAGTCAGATCAAAAAGAATAAAGAACTGGGTGTGGACCATTTAACACTTAATTAAAAGTTATTGCCATTTTTGCATTATTAGTGTTGAAAACAATAAGTAATACGTATTCATTTTCCATATCCTTAATACTATGAGGATTGTGCATTTGTCTTCCTCAACAGAATCACTATAGTGAAGTTGATATACATTATTCCTCTGCGCTTGCAGAACAGAGGAAGTCCTGGGGAAGGGAACGGAGCAAATCATAATCCATTATGATTTATGAATTATGACTCTGTGAAAATGGACCCCAAGATATGTGTAACTACAAGGCACTAAAAAGACATTTTAAAAACACAAAAACTTCATGTACATAATATCGCCTTTTCTTATTTTGAAAAAAGTAGCATGTTTAATCACCTCTTAATTTGGGTGCAATTTTCTTTAGTTCATTAACCTTAACTACTTTGACCCAATGTCTTATTATATCACAATTTACTTTTCCTTTCTCTAATTGCTGGTCATGTTTAATTATTGGAAAAAACATATATATACCCACACAAACACACACACACACACAAAATGAGCAAACTATAAGTGAACTTAAAATAACACATTAAGAATAATGTAATTTGGGCTGGGGATGTGGCT